ATAAATAACTGATGGGATGTGGCTGGGAGGAGAGTAATGTAATCTGGACATGAGATCCATTACAGGCACCATACTGTGCAATACCATACACCGCAGACCTGGAGGCATGCGAGGCTGAACATGGTGATATGTTGAGTTCAACAATCAACTGCATCAAACATTTGTGACGCTACTGCAATAAAGTTACACTAAAACAAATGTGACAGTTATTGATTTATGTATGCAAATGCTCTCTCTGTCCGTCCTTTTCCCGGGTCAGCCACAAAAGTGCAGCGTCAGAGTTCGTTGGGATTCGGTGTACTCAGCACAGTTCAGCAGGTTAGATGCTTGCTAACACAAGGGCTTGAACCCAGGTCTAACAAATATCACAAATCAAATTATCAGTGTGTGTCACTGCTTCATAACTCTCCAATGAGGTTCATCTTGATGAGGTTTCTCCATCACCAGAAGCGTAAACACCCTTCTCCCAGCTCCATGACAACACAGCTGAGAGTGTAGGATGTTTACATGTCTGGAGACAGTTGACAACAAATTTAAATATCTCACACATCCATCTGGTATCCTATATATTTGTATACAGTACATTAATCTCCCATTTGAGCAAAACTTCAATGTGATATGCTGCTTTTCTGTGTGAAATTGGTTCACTGAATTGGTCCCTGGTAGAGGTTACTCTTTGCTGTCAGAGGCAATAAGATGCTGCAAACATCCGACTGAAAGCCCTCGCTGTCCAAAACCACAGCTTCCAGTCAAGGATGTTTACAGCTCCTCCAGGTTGCCAACCATGGAAAAGCACCTGAGATGAAGACCCAAATGAGCAACTCTTCTTCTTGTGCCAACTTTACTGTATACACAAAATATTTTTCATCTGCTGCTTGCCCAACACTGCATGGGTAATAAGTCAATCCGGGCAGTGTCCTTTCCTACCTGTCGTTTAGGTGGCTTCAGGTCGTCCCGGGGCACAATGTCAATCAGGAAGTCAAACTGGTCAAACTTTGTTATTGCCATGGCAATGTCGTTCCTCTGTAAACGTAACAGACAAAGAGTGTCAAGTGATGATGTCAGACTTTAATTATGCTAATTCAATATATGCAGTGACCTATATATAAACATGCCTCAAGGCCTAAGGTCAACCCTCCCAAAATAGCCACACAAGAGGCTACTGTGGAATTGAAATACAGTTCCCAGTACCAGTAGTACTGTAATAGGCATTTGCTTTGATAACTGAGGTCAAAGGAAGAGAGGAAAAGTTTACAGCTGAATCGATTTCAAATGCATTTCTCACAATAATCTGTCATTTTATACACATTAAAACAACTAATCATGAATGAGATTAAATAAAGGCAGATTAAACAATAATGAAATTAATGATTACTTGCAGCTCTATATGTGTTACATGAAAGATCAACAAGTTTTTATTAACCAACAGTTACTGAAGTCAAATAGATTAATAAAACACAATGACCCTAGCATCACAGTCATAAACCTGGGGGTATGTGTGTGATGGGAAAAGTAAAGAAGCTTTCCAGCCGTCGTGAGCACATGCTCTGCTGCTATACCCCTTCCTATATCTACAGCAGTGTGCTGTCTCTGTGGAATTTTCCACAGGATATTGGCTGTCAGGACCCCCCATTGTGGCCCTCCCTGCACAAGAGGTTATTTATAGTAGCTTGATTAATATCTGGTAACACCAGGTTACATCTACACATGTTCTATTGATGAGCGTTGCTATGGTGATCCCAACTGGCGTGCCCTCTTCACAATAGGACTCGAGCTGTGTGTGTGTGAGTGCGTGTGTGAACATGTGGAGATGAAGGGTACCGTTTTCCCCCCTCACTAAAAGGTATATGAAAATCGTCATGAGGTTCAACATACCTAATGCATCACCTGTGGTGTAAAATGTAATTAAAATCTAAAACTGAGCAGTAAAGTTTCTACTTAAAGTGAGAGTTTCATGCTAAAAAAGGATTCCGGGTCAAAGAAAAGACAACAGCGCCGTGAACCCACTTCCAAAGTAGGTAGTTCAATTTAAGACTCCTCCTAAACTAACTACGATTACGTTCTTTTTCCTGGTCTCTTTTTCTACCTACATTGACATACACACACACATACCCATGGGCTGCTAATCTCTCAGAGGTATGTGAATGGATAAAGTGGACTTAAGGGCTTTCGTGTTCTGCTCCACAGTTTTCCTCTCTTGACGTCCAGGTGAGACAAGCTGACTTTCCCTGACTGTTCCTATCAGCGCTCTCATGTTCTCTACTTCACATCATTCCAGAGTCCATCTTATTCAACTTTGGGACAGTAGAGCAGGCAAAATGGCAACGGAGGGATAAGTGGGTCAATGGCACCTGCCTGGCTTTGCTTTCAAATCAATGGAGAGAGAAGCAACTAAACAGAGGGAGAGTCCTCAAGGGGATGCTGGTATGGGGCCTTTGCTTGTATATGCACACACAGACACTCAGTGAACAGAAAGCAACAAACCAAAAAGACAGCCAAATGATGCAAGGGTGTGGGAAAGGTGAGATGAAACGAGTGTGTCTGACCTGTAGCGTACGTCTCTTGTTGTCCTCGGTGTGGATCCATGCTCTGAGGGTGAGCTCTGTGATGAAGATCTGAGCTGCCTTGGCAAACAGGACCGGCGCCTCTGCACTGATCATCTGTACAGAGGAGATGGGGTTACACCCGGTTACATACACCCACAGAGTATCAAGAATCAATCACATATCCGCTATAACATGAATCACTCAGGACCTGAGTAACACTTGGCTGCATCACATTCACAGGTGCTGCAAAATAAGCAATTAATGCACTCATTTGTTCAACACTACGTAATAATTACAGGCTAATGCGTCAGCCCGAAACACTTCTCATACAGAGTGACTGGTATATTGTTTAGCCGGATAATGTCATTATTTTTCTCTAACACACATGAACATTTCTATTCTTTTCATTATAGTTGTGAATTATCTCAAAACCTTTGTTTGTCCCTAAAAACGCCTCATCAGTTGTAAAAATCACTGGTCTGCAGGCCTCTAGTGGAAGATTGTTTAGCTTCAAACAGCACTTCTTCTTATCAAGTGGCACTGAACTCTCAGAACAAGCCTCGTGATATTAAGTTAAGTGTATGTAAAGTAAATGTACATGATGTACTGTAATAATACCACACCACTCACATGTACACACATGCAGTGAAAGCTGCCGTGTCACAGCTGACAGAAGGGTCCTGTCCTCCGATATGTTAGTGATCTCCTGATCTCTTTAAGCTGCTGCTAAACTAAGGGGATAGCGCTCTTGACACGGCAAGCCACACACACACACACACACACACACCTTTATTTTTTTATTTTTTTTCTAAGAGATTATGAACAGCCCAGGATGATAATCTGGTATGAACTTTTGAGTTCAATGCAACTGACAAATGTTGGGAGATGAGTAGGTTCCTTGGAATAAAGCTTGTGGATACATGCCCCTAAATCTACAGTATATCCTTAGCCGATCTGAGAGACTGGCATTGGTCTCAAGGTGTAAATTCTGATTGTTAGTTTGCCAAACATATATTTGATGCAATGTTTTTTGTTGCACATGACAAATAAAATTACTTTGACTTTATTTTACCCAGTAGATGTTCGACATAAACCACAACTTACAACAACGTGGAATAGGCTACGTTTTGAAAAGTCGACAAGCGGCTAAAATCTGTGGCAAGTGGCAGCTACTTGCAACACAATCAGTTTTGTAAGCTCACTTAATGATGCCTGATTATTTCTGTATCCACACTGTTAATATGTTTTGATGTAAACCCACTTGGTATAAATAATGGACTTCTTATCAACAGGCACTGCTGACAGCACAAAAGCTGATAAAATAAGTCCAGCAGGCCATTCACGGCCACTGAGCAGTCTGAGAACAACAGGGCACAAACCAACAACTTGATGGAATATACACACCAAATTAAAGAACATTATCAGTCAGGCTTTAAGGCATTAAAATGATAAGTAAATGCAGAAATAAATATTACAAAATGGTTCAAGGACCAGGATCAAGTAATACATTGCCTGTTTTTTTCCTTAATCCTATCTCAGTTATTCAAAATTACCAGTATGCTCAATAGAAATTTACCATAGCTTTACCAATTCTAATCAATTCTATCCAAGAACCACATTAGTGTCATCTTGTGGTTTTGGTCAGATTTGCAGTGGATTTAATTTCTTGGTTTTATGAAAGGAATTGCACTAGAGCTAAGTGCTTCCTTTTAATACATATCCTCCACCCAAATAATAATTATTTTCTCAATATGGTCAGTTGTTTAGGCTGTCCTCTCACCTTGACATCCTCATCCAGCTTCATAATTTTCTTGATTCGAGCCAGAGGTAACTCCTGCACACGAAAATCCTTCTGAGGAGAATACATGTGTGGTCAGTTAAAGGCACAGAACAGGGCACAAGAAAGTTGTGCTTTAGTATTTGCATGTACGCATATTTGAAACCATATAAAACCCATTGAATCTTAGCGTTATTGTGGCTGGTATGTGTGTTGTGTGTGTGTTTCAATGGCCATAGCGTACTACAGTCAGGTTCCTGATCTCCTCCATGACACGAGGCCAGAAGGACTGCAGGGTTTGCTGGGCATCGCTGCCCCCAGCTCCAAACGCATCTGCGGACATCCTCTACTCTGCTGCATCAAGGAAAGACAGGGGAGGAGACAGATGGAAACAGAAAGTTAATAAGGAGAAAACGCATAAACAATGACATGTGTCCTTAGTGAATGAGTGTCAAGACGCCAGGACACAGAACAGTGTCAGTCCAAGCCAGGCCTGAGGTGCCTACAGCTCTTCCCGTGTGTCAGAACCACATGTCCTACAACAGCCTGTAATTATAATACAGTGAAATCTAAAATAGAGCCTGATGGGACTCTATTCTTGTTCTTGTGGGATGCTGACATGCCCAAGAACCCACCACCAGACTGGCTGCAAACTCAATGGCTCCATTACCTTGGGCACATAACGGCTCCTCTGCAAACACAAGCATGTCATGTGTAAGTCACTGCTGCTTGTGATTCCCCACGCACTGAGAACAACCCTGGAACAACAGACCTAGGAGACGCATTTCTGTTTGTGTCACAGAGAAACAATCTCCTGACAACAACAGCATTCCACTTTTTTGATGAACGCACATGGTGAGCGCACACACAGACACGTGCTTGCAAACTAACCAAAAGTTGTAATGTGAAATAAACCAACTCTTACACACACATTGATGTGGATATTAAAAAAAGCCAGTGCTTCTGCAAGGGGTCTGACAGTTTGAAAGAGGATCCAGCAGGTTACTATGGCATGCCAGGAATCTGCTGGGGGAATATTGGCCTGCCTGTCTGAGCACGCAGAGCTTGAAGTGTCTGGATCGCACCCTTTCACTCTCTCCCTTTTCTCCCTACCTCGGTGAAAAGATCTGGCAGAAGGGAGAAGAAAAAAGCAACATGGGGGGGGGGGGGGCAGAACAACAGATGAGTGTGTGGAGCTACTCAAGAGAGACAGCGTGTGTGTGTGTGTGTTGTTGAGGAAGGGGCAGTGCCTTGTCCAGTTCAGCATTAATCCAGCGCTAAGACAAAGTGCCAAAGGCTTTAACAGGGGGAGGTAAGAGACACACAGGGCCGCAGCCAGACTGCTCTGCAAACTGGCTATGTGGGTCAAACGAGACAGAAAGAGGGAGACGCAGAGAGAAAAAGAGAGAGAGACATGACAGAACAAAGAAAAAGAGTGTAAGGAGAAGGGAGGGGGGTCTCCTCTTTATCTTCTCTTTCTTTTCTCACTCTGGGCCAACAAGCATGAATAGCTCCAGCTCTGGTCCAGCTGACAGGCCAATACAAAACAAAAGACAGCCTTTCACTCCAACATCGATGTGTCTCCCCTGTTAAAGCGGTGTTGTAGAGGATTGTTTTGACTTTGGGTCCACGTCAGCTCCTTTATTCGTACTGCTTAAGTGCAGCTGTAAATATTTTACACAGATAAATCACTAATTCAGAATGCAGGACCTTTGCAGGACGATTGATTTCTGACAGGAAAGACTGCTTCTCCGGCAGATGTGGAAGTTACTGAATAATATAGAAGAAGCGGAGCTGCATCCTGTTCTGTCATTCAGTTTTTCGACCGAGTGTAGCTTAAATCAATGGGACAGAATGGCAGCAGGGTTGGCTTTATGTAAATCAATCAGGCCGCTTGTAGCTATGGCATGCCAGACTAGTGATTGACCTTGACAATGTCTCCCCTTCTCTGCCTGAATCTCCAGTGTCCAGTTACATTTCAAGGTTGATTGAAATCCTGCAATCACTAGAACAATCCCAGCATTCCACGGGGCAGGAATGACTGATGGGCATTGTAGTTTTTCCTCCTCTGCCTGATGGGCAAACTGACCTCTGCCAGGGGTTTTTCATGGCCTCCGTGTACTTTGCAGTACCATGACCGTGCAAATAGGGTGAACAAAATAAGAACTACTTGTTTTCCCGGCTAAGAAGCATTTTAGCATCAGCAGTTAATCTTGTGATAATTTTGAACAAGACAACTTGTGTGTGTACTGTATTCCAGCTTGTGTGGTTCTCTCCAACTGGTAGTCTGATAAGAAACAATAATTAGGCAATTCACTTCACAGCATTACAGACAACCATCAGGATAAAATAGCAAATAATTCAATTGATTAAAAAAAAAGAGAGATAAACAAGCAGGCAACACTAACTCCTTCTTCTGCTCTAAACACATAGTTCACTTATTTTAAACCCCTACCTTTTCTTTTAAAAAAGAGAGAGAGAGAGAGAGCTGTTATTAAATCACACACACCCCAACCCCCTCTCTCTGACCCCGTGACCTTCAATCTAAATACACAGCTACACACTAACCACAGAAGCAGGGGGGCGGGGGGAGAGGGGAAGTCAATATGTGAGAAGAAATGAGAAAGCAAGTGTGGCGAGAGGCAGGCTGAAGCGTGGGGGGAATAAATAGAACGACATATGTGAGAGAGAAGAGAAGGGCTAAGTATCAACATGCCCTTGAGCGTTGCTCCTGCAGCTAGCTAGCGTGTTCTACCTACAGTATAGCAATATTAACATATTTCCCAAGGCTTTGCATCAACGGAAAGTTTGCGTGGGAGCCCACTTATGTCTCACACACAAGTGCAGAACTGCTGACTTCTGCAAGACCTTCTATGGTCTGGGTCTATACCAGTCAAACAAACACTGAGTGCGGCTATACAATGCACAAAGGCAATCTAATTTGAAACTCCCTGAAAGCTAATAAATGTCAACGTTATTAAAGTTGTAAAAGGTCTGGAGGTTGATGCAGACTGCTAGAGAAAGCCAATGTCAAGATGGCTTATTTTGTCCGCAGTGATAAGTACCATTTGCTTCTGGTCTTTCCAGGCCTCTCATCTATAGTATGCTTTGAAGTGCCACTTAAATGGAAATCTGTACCAAAGAATTAAAGCTTGTTAGTCCAGTTCACTCCTTTATACTCTGCATTGTAAGCCGCTTTAAATAACAAATGACATGAATGTATTTTACTTTCCTGTGAGCTTGTTATTCTGGACAATACTGTGCATCATTCTGCTGTAATGAACCTGACACGCTCATCTCTGCTGTGTTGTTCTTAGCTGTTACTGTATGCTATATTAGGGTACATTGTGTTTTTTTTTTTGCGCTGAGCATCTCTCCTCTCCTCTTCCCTGCGGTTCTATTGCCCTTCATCGGGTCATCGAGAACCAGAGGTGCCGGTGTTGGGTTTCCTACCAACTCTGCTGTCTGTGTGTGTGTGTGTGTGTGTGTGTGCGTGCGTGTGCACGAATGTGATGTCTGTGCTTTGTCGACATTGTCCAACACAGCAACTTGCTCTTCCTCCTTCAGCGGCTCTACATCTCTCTTCCTGTCGCTTCTCCAGTACTTCCCATCTCTCTCTGTCGCTCGTGGGTGCGTGTTTCTCTCCTGCTCTGTCTTACTTACTTTCACCTCATCCCCCCTCTTCCAACTTCTCTGAGAAAGTCAATGTTTCTCCGCTTGCAGCAGCTGAATCAGCGCTAATGTTGTTCTGCCCGCCCCGGTCCTGCATCTCTCCTCTCTCGTTCTCTCTGTCTCATCCCTCCCTCCCTCGCTCACTGGCACGTCACATCAAGTGGCCACTCACAGCAGCATCAGCGACTCTGACATCACACCACTTTACATGAGCCTTCAATTCCTGTCCAAATAAACCCGATAGCAGTGCAGGCAGAAAGGCAGAAGACCAGAAAAAAAACAACAAGATAGTATCACTTAGAGCCCATATGCCTATTCATTTGCTCTTTAAGATTAAAGATTACAAAATTTTCAGGGTCAAACGCTGCACATTGGCATCGTTGCACAAGAAAATACAATAAGGGAAATTAATTAGATTGGTGTTTGGTTATGGTGAAATTTTCTGTAGTTAACTGCCCCAATAATGACCTGACAGTTGGTGTAAATTGTGTATAATTTTGCTGTGTGTAGTTGATAGGTAATGAGGCATGGCAGTTTAGGGCAACCTGAAGGTCTATCAGGCAGAAGAGTGAACTTTTCCCTGAGGTGTTTCAGTATCACATTGTCATTGTGCTGAAGAACTCATCTCAAGCCAGATCTTTCCCTGAAGCAGAGCTGACACTTCACATTGAACTGCACTGAAAGGACCTGACGCACACAGTAAATAAAAGGGGCCATATACTTTACCAAATGAATGAGCTCAGTAAAATTATCATTGTATCTTGATTTGGTTAACATGCCTGGTTGATTTGATTAATGTACTAATCTACGTGTGAGAAAAATGCCTACACCAACCTGGTTGACTTTTAAAAATAAGTTAGTCCCTACCATTTTTTGTACAGTACTGTAAATAACTGCATATTAGATTGTTTTTAAGAATATAGTTATCACAACAGACAGTTTTAAAACTATTTTAGTTTTTTTAAGCCCTTTCAGTTCAACGTGACTGTTACAACATACAAAACAGATACGGGCAAATTAACATAAATTATGGTGCCAAATCATAGAGGAAGGGGACAACAAAAAAACAGATGATTTCTTTCCCCCTTTTTGTGACCTTAACCTTCCCCATTGTTGCTCTTCATGGTTACTAACAGTTAAAACATCAGGCTGTACAAACAGCAAACGTGTACACACATGAACTGGTCACCACTATGTTTCACTATAAATTATGAAATCCACAAAATACTTTTGTATGCTAGAGTAACAACTACAGGATGGGTATTGCCACACTGACATGTTTTTAGCAAGAGGTCAATTTTTCACATGCTGCTGTGTGAAACTGTCAATGATGCAGAATGGGCAGTTGGCAGGAAGGTCACTAAAGGTTAGTCTACTTGGTTTAAATGGCCTCCTAAACAGAAAAACAACATACATTACCGTAAACCAGGGTCTATATCTCACTGGAGCGCTGAGAATTATTTAACATTAAGTGTGTTAGTTGTATTCTGATTTACTATGCCCCAACAGATGGAATAAATACAGCCTAGGCAACACATCATGGTGTCAACATTCATTTTAAATACTGGCCATAAATCAATAGTGTATGTACAAATCCTGAACTATTAAAGCGTTCACCATGATGAACCCAATCACAAACGGGCAAGGTTACAGCATTCAGGGTAAATGATCTACTCAGACAAAACAAAAAAACAAGAAGTTCCCAGCCAGGAATTACAGATTAACTACAGGGACACGCAGAACATTTTAACAGATGTTGGTGCAAATGTTTCGTGATTAAAAAAAAGAACAGACGGGGTTACAACGAAGGACATGCTCCCTGTGACCTGCAGTGCAACATCTCTTTGGCATGGCCGCACTGAACCAGCCAACCTAACAGCCCTGCAAACTTTGCCCTTGGTTCTGCTTCAAGCCAACTCCAGGAAGTGCTAGTCACTGATCTTCCAAGGTCATTCAACAGAGGAGAGAAAGAAACCAGAGAGGGAGGGAGGGAGAGATGAAAGAGAGAAGGGGAGGGAGAGGGGGAGGGAGAGGGGGAGGATAGAAAAAGGACAGGTTTTTCAACTTTCACTGCAGCACTTAAGTGACCCCAGTGTTTCAGGCTGTGTAGTTTCTAAGAAGCTTAATGAAAACATCACATAGTGTACATATTAGCTCTGTTCAGTATCCCCTTTTGAGTTTCGCTTCCGCTGTGTCCTCTCATCTCCCTCTACATGTTTCCTTCTCATTGCTGACAGAGAGACTGCGGGAGCCAATCTCACATTCCTGTGACCTTCATCCAGTGCTAGGCCTAGTCTCTGGCGTCAAAGTAGGCAGGGCTAAAGCTACCTGCATATTACAAGCTGGAACACAGCTGACTCCCCCCCTGTCTGCCTACACAGCCTTTAGTGACAGTGTACACATGCTAAAGCACAGGGGGGAGCAAGGGCAAAAGAGTGAAGGCCTGGCAGTAGTGGTCACCTTAGTGATAAGCTGAAAGGCCTAGCTATGTCTAAGTGGTTTGCGTGGTTCGTTTACTTTTTTCCTTCCCCCGGTGTGCATATGGTACAGTACGGGGCACAAATTATATTCAAATCTCATGCAGACAGAAGCCAACCCTGGGATTTGGCAGCAAGGACTTCAACTTAAGAGTTATTTTTAGTCTCCCTCTCTCTAGCTCCAGCACTCTCTCTCTCCCGCTCGCTCTTCTCTTTCCCCAACGGGACTCTGTTTTGTCAAAGGCACCAATGGAAACTTTCAATTAGGGAGGAAGGGAGGGGACAGAAAGGGAGTCAGAGGCAAGTGAGAGAAGAGGCGCCCTCCAAAGATTCCATCAGAAGAGATCAGATCAAACTATTAGCCTCCTCTGCCCCTGAAGCTGACAGGCTGACAGTCTGTCCCATCTGGGAGTCTGGCACTGTCGGGGCGGGAGCCTGGGGGGCCCTGGGGGGTCCTGAGGTCACTGCAACCAGCTGCACCTCAACCCCTGGGGACCCCTGACACCAACAGTGACAATAACATTGAGAGAGTCCTCCATCTAAAACAAATCTTTCAACATGCTCTGCCTCTCAGCTCTGCGTCACTGTCCTGTGCTAGCGTGTAAACAAGGACATCCGGGGGAAAAGCAGGGTCCGGACCGGCACCGGGAGCCACTGTGGCCCTCAGCCCCCAGGCTATCGACGCCCAGCACAGAGTCTGACGGCCGTGCACTTGCATGGAGTCGATCGAAGGGCAATGAGCCTGTGTTGTCTGTGTGCATGTTGGTCCAAATTTAAAACACAACAAGTGACAGCCAAAGACAGACTTGACTGTACATTGTTACTTTGAGAATGAAAAAAACACATCACAATCACAGTTTGTTTGTTTTTTAAACCACAGTCCATTTTGCAGAAGGTGACCACTAAAGGACACGGATGAGAAACACACGAAACGAACAACTCCACTCTTCCAAGGAGAGTACTACAGGACAGGAAAGGGAGGGGGGATCGAGGACGGCTGTAAAGGACAGACACTGTCTCATCACTGCAGAGCGTGATGGAGAGAGACTCATCAGAAAGTGAACAAGAGATGAACAATTTATTCAGAAACTCAAAAGCCTAACCAACTTGACAGGTCTTCTCTGTGTGTGTGTTTTCAGCGGTCAGACTTACCCCTGTGCCCTTCATGGTGAACGGTCTGCCCTGTTGGAGCAGAAAAGAGGGAAACAGATAGCCCTGCTCAAGTCTCCTTGAGAGCTGCGGCGGCGGCAGGAAGAAGAGGCAGAGAGGTTGACAGAAAAACTCTCTCTCAAGCTCCTTCACTTTCTCCAGTCCCCTGATCGTATCAACAGACAAAAGGCACTCTGGCTCCACTGGACGGCTTTAAAAAGGCTCTCAGCCTGGACACACAGGGAAGAGCAAGCCCCCCTTCTTCTACCCCTCCCCCTTCTCTCTTCCACTCTCCCTCTACACATTGCCCTGTCTCCTTCAGCAGCCCCCCAACGTCCTCCTGCCTAAACATACAGCCCCGTCTCTCCTGTTTTTCTTTGGACCAAGTCCCCTCAACTCACTGACCTTCTCTCTTTCTCTGTCTTTTTCACTCTCTCACACCTCTCCCTCCCTCTAGCCAGTGACCCATGCGTTTGTCTTTGAGCTGACCCCTGGCCCGGCGCAGAGAAGAGGGCGACAGGGAATAGAAAGCCAGTACGGCAGCAGGCAACAGCAGGCAAACAGTACAGCGGCACTCCCGACTCACAGACAAAAATCTCTAGCCTCCTTCCCCTTTAACATTCAAGAGTAATCAATCTAGCATGCTACATGATACTCAAACCCCGCCTCACACCCGGCTCCCACCTCACTCAGACACTTGCAGCCAATGAGAAGACAAGGTCCTCCAGCGCCATTGGACGCTGCACACACCAATCAGCTCTGACACGTCCCTTGCACCTCCCCTTTCCTCCACCCAACCCCCTTTTAGCGACAGCCAACTTCCTGCTCTAAGTTACCTTGAGCTGCAGGATAGGGGTCAGGGAAAAGAAAAGAGGAAGAGAGCGTAGAGAGGAAAATAGGTGGAAAAGAGCAAATAAAGTTGTGCAAAGCTCTTCAGGGAGTGTGTGTGCGCGTGCTAGTAGTGGCTTGCCTCGGCATTGTTTGTCCTCGGGCGCTCCCTGCCTCTCCCGCTGCTGGACGGATGAGAAAGGTTCCACGGGCTGCTCTCTGACAACTGCTCTCTGCTTATTTACAATGTCAAACTAAATGTCTCCCTCCGCCCCGCCTCCTCTCTGCTGCTACAGGCTGACGGCGCAGTGATGCAGAGAGCCACGCTGGCCCTCACTGGCTGAAACAAGTGCCAGAATGGGTGCTGCATGTTGCATCCACATGATGATTTAAAGTACAAAAGCATACTAGGCAGACTCGTTGTCTCATACATGTGCACAGGTAACAATGCACATCCACACACGCACACCCACGTACACGTTTTTGCCCTTGCTGTCTCATTCATCCTTGCTCAGTCACATGTACACACCGCAAACATCTAGCCTCTAACCAGCCTACTTATTATAATGATATTCATTGTACTGTTAATATTAGGCTAGGAGAGGAAACAAATTGTCTGCATGCATGGTCACTCGTTACTCGCTTGGAATATGAATTAGTTGAATTAAACTTTATCCTGACTCGTGGGAACATTTAGTTATGTAACTCACAACATTATTAATCCAGTCAAACCCTAATTATGGTGTCAATCATATTTACACAAAAACAAATTACTTCAAAACAGATCATTGCGGGGCCCTTGTACAAGCTGAGGAAGAATCAGCTGACTGGTGAGCAGCCACAGAAGGGAGGGGAGAGCAAGAGTGCATTTGATTCTCGTCCTATTTGTGGATAAACAAGACTTAAGAGATATGGGTGAAATTCTGTAAACAAAGACATTGTTGTCTTGACCGCAAAAACTACGCTCACAGCAACTTCCACAATTAAAACGTCATCAACGAACCACATCAGCAATGTCATACAATGCCCTTCTTGTTAACTCACCATCAATTTAATGTGCACGCTTTCTACACCACAGCAGGACACTGCTGCTCACGTGCACAACTCATGGCGTTTAATGCACAACTATATAAGTTAATCAACATCTAATATGCAAACTCATCAAGACACATAAAGCTTGGACATTAAAGTGTCTACAAGTAACAGAAACTGAAGGTGTGATGGTACTGATATTTTGTCCAGAGCAGCCTTTAACTAATAACGTGTGCAAATGATGGGGGTGTTCGTGCTGCATATTACTGCAAATCCTGACTGTAGTGAAGAACAGAACAAGCTTAAGAGAGAGAGAGAGAGAGAGAGAGAGAGAGACAGCAATCCTGCCCCATCAATGAAAAACTTCAGGGGGAGGGGAACCGGAAGGATGGAGAAGGACAGAGAGGAGAGTTGTCACAGGATGGGAGGGGAAGAACAAGTGTAGAGAGGGCGAGAGTACAAGACAGAGACTCAAGAGAAAAAAGCTAAATGTTCCCTTTTCTATTTTTGTAAGGAGCATGGGGACTAGAGAAGCTATCCAGTTAATGATTAGAGTGGATCTGCACAAAGATTAATCTCTCCAGCGTGGCTGCTATGCCAGAGCAGCTCTCTCTGTAGGTGTACTGTAGTTACCCAAAATGCCTCAGTAATAACACCTGGCAAGGTCACCGTACAAATGAGACCTTCCCATGACCTGTGCTGCCTGTAGCAGGGACATGTTTGCTCTCACTCATGCTGTTTAGAGATAAACACACCAGCCAGACTATGGGTTTTATAAACACACAGCACCCTCAGGGTAGTCAGGCCGTACCAACCATTCAACCACAAACATGCAAAAAACACATGCAAACCTGCATGACTAAATGGTTAGCTGCACACAGGTTACTCGGGTTAAGCTCTGTAAGGTATTGCCGACCCTCATCCAGCCATTTTAAATATAATGTAACTGCTAGTTAAATGTGCACAGATAACAGTGAATTAAGAACACAACAGTACTATAGCTCTTCTAGATTAATATAGTAAACTAAGATGTTAGGAGAGGCTGCAAACTGTACAGTTTTGGTCTCCAATGCTAACAATGAATGTGAAATGCTGAAGCACCTTTGAAATTCTTATATTCACTGGAGATTATAGCAGAGAGGTGGCATTGCTATCTATGTTTTCAATCTGGGAGGAGCGGGGGGGGGGAAAAAAAAAAGGTAATCATTGATGACAAAACCCAAACTAAACCAACAAGGTGCAGCTTTTAATGATATTGTTCTGTTTTTTACTTTGTGGTTAGATTTAAAGCTATACTTTCAGTAACGTTATTTATATACTATGTACATAATATTTTATCAAGGACAGGCGTGTTGGTCACACTGACCTGGGTAAGAAAACGATACAATTGCTATATTGATAGCACAATGCATTTTCACTGGCATAACTGTTAGAGTAACTTTGCCTTTAATACGATGTTGCATGTTTAACGTTAACTAGGTCGCTGCATTATAAGCCAGTTAGGATGAACAAAGCCGCTAGCAGGAGACACTGAAACCAATGCCACATCCCAGGGTAGCAGACGGAAGTATTTAATTAGTAGCATATAAAACGTTAGTGCTAAACCGTGCCACACCGGCTTCTAAACACTTACAAGGACATCGACCTTAAAAACACAGTTAGCTCTAGCGGCTAACGTTATGGTGGTCAGTGGTGACCGTGGCTTCGTGCTAACGTTAGTCAAGTTAATGTTAGCTTGTTGGAGATGAACACTGGTGACTGTTCTACAGCACAGGTGACCATTCGTAGTGTGTGTTATTTTAATCACCACTGGACAACGACCTCATCCATCAAATGAAAGTTTGCAAAGCTTTCCAAAGCTAGGAAGAAGCGATCTAACCAATAAAGACAACGTTTGGATCTGTCCCTCAGACCAATCAAACCTCGGACTAGATTCCACCAATCAAGGTTTTTAGGGCTAAGTTCGTTCTGCAACTGTCGCCATTCGGGCGCCAGTAGAAATAGCCAGTCTGACTGACAATCTCTCACACACGAGCCAACATGGTGGACATGAAATACCAGTTTCCTGACCGCCCATGATCCCTTCAGCGGGCCACCAATAAGCGCCTCAGAGAGCGGGGAGGGAAATGGCGCCTATGTTCATCTTCCAAAACAATCGTCTATTGGTCAAGAACAGCAAATGAAAAGAAGCGAAGTAATTGCCCCTACTTCCCCCCAACACGGGCTACTTTCTTGTAAACGTTATACACACAAACGAAATTTAATTTCTTACTCACTTTGTTTTACGGGTTCGAAGTGAAGTCCGGGCTCAGCGTATTATTTATTTTATTTAGCTAGCAAGGGGAAACAAGATGGCTGCTACTCGAACCGGAAAGAGTTGACTGCGCGAACGCGATGACGTTGCAGCTTAGTTCCCTGAGCAACGGCGTCAATTTCCCACCGGTCAGACGTACAGTTGAACGGGATATGGGCTATCTGATCAATATATTAAGTTCCCAGTATTGTTAGTCAAAATGAAAAATAAGGGAAGTGGTAATCCAGTTGAGCAATAGTGTAACTGATAAATCTGTAAAATATATTAATGCTGCTGATAACAGGAAGAATTGACTTGACAGACTTTGTACCAAACTGTTTTAATGTTTTCATTAAACTCTGGTCCTTGTAACCACGTTATTCACAAATACCAGCAGTAAATATAAAAAAAGTTGAATGAATTTATATGGGCAGCACAGTTAAAAGCCAATATAGAAAAAAACATTACTATTGGAGCTGGTGATAAAAATAATATGAATTGAAAGACATGACAGTTACAGTAGACAAATGTTACATAAACACTCAGGTTCGAACATTTTCCATTGAACCAAATTATTTACAAATGTCTAAAGCCAATGAACTAAAACTCAAACAACATCGAAGAAGAAAATTTAATGGATATTTAGTTTACAGATCTTCTACGGAAATCTGACGATCATTTCCTTGCCACAAGCTCCAGGAGAGTGGAGGTGATTTTTTCCAGGTTGTTGGAGTACCGAAGGTCCCTGTCCATCCTGGGTCCTCGTTCCATGTGGAAGGGAGGTGAAGAACAGTGGGAGTCAAAAAACGCCTCAGCAGCAGGTCGGTAATCTCGAGGGTGCATGGGTTCTTGAAACCTTTCAGGATAACTTGCTGGCTCATCTGGATGGGTAGCATGTGGTGTCCGAGACATATCCGGCCGCCCAAAAACCTCTGAAAGCAAAATAATGTAAAAAAACTTATATCAAAGTTTTTGTAAAAATGCAGAGTGATTTGACAGAGTGAACCGGAATATGTGGCTTGCTGTTCATCACAAGATTAATTTCTCATATAATCACAAGATGAGCTGACAGAAATGTGCACACTGCCTCCACGGTTATTACACATAAACTTAACAGAAAATGGTACAAATATATGAAGAGAAGAATAATGAAGAATATTTTGTCAAATCTGACTGAGGTGAGTGTCATCTAATCCAGTTATACAATTTACCTTCATAACGGCTTCTGTTTGAATTTGAGTGTCTGGGTTCCCTGCGTACAGGGTGGTCGTATTCTTGGTGCCGCTCATCAATGTTTGAGTTCGAGTGTCTGGGTTCCCTGCATACAGGGTGGTCGTATTCTTGGTGCCGCTCATCAATGTTTGAGTTCGAGTGTCTGGGTTCCCTGCGTACAGGGTGGTTGTATTCTTGGTGCCGCTCATCAATGTTTGAGTTCGAGTGTCTGGGTTCCCTGCATACAGGGTGGTCGTATTCTTGGTGCCGCTCATCAATGTTTGAGTTCGAGTGTCTGGGTTCCCTGCGTACAGGGTGGTTGTATTCTTGGTGCCGCTCATCAATGTTTGAGTTCGAGTGTCTGGGTTCCCTGCATACAGGGTGGTTGTATTCTTGGTGCCGCTCATCAATGTTTGAGTTCGAGTGTCTGGGTTCCCTGCGTACAGGGTGGTCGTATTCTTGGTGCCGCTCATCAATGTTTGAGTTCGAGTGTCTGGGTTCCCTACGTACAGGGTGGTCGTATTCTTGGAGCCGCTTATCAGGTATTTGCTCATGCTGCTTCCAGCCTCTTCCTCTGCAATCTTCTTTAAAGTAGAGGTCTTCTGGTCGTCTGAGGTCTGAATCTTCTTTGAGGATTGTCTCATACTGGTGTCTTGGAGACGGCTCCCAGTCCAGTTTTAAGTGGTCGTAGTCTTTAGAGATGACAGCTCGACCTTGGCTATTTTGCTACAACAACAAATACACATGCTTCTTTAATTCTTTTCTACTGTTTTCAGAGAGGCAGAGAATAAAACTACATGTTCCATTAGAAAAGACCGACCCAGTGCAGGGTTACACGTACCCCAGCTTTCTCCAATCTTTTGGACTTGAATTCTTGCAGAAGGTTGCAAAGTTTGTTCTTCAGGAAGTCAGCCTCTTCTGCATTCTCAATTTCAATGTTTTTCTATTAAAAAAGGAAGGGACAAGGGAAAAAAAGACATTTATGAATGGCTGCACAACAAACACATCACTAATACATGTGTGCAAATTCATATTCTTACCAGCATATCAAAAACACCTCCTGACTCAGAGCGTCCTCTTTGGCAGCTTTCAGTATGATGTTGGCTCTAAAGAAACAACAGGTTTGATATCACAACAATTTTATTATATAAGTGAGTATATATTCTAGACTAGTTAGAACAAGTGGCTTCATTTTATGATTAACCACCTTTGATTCTATGTAGAGGTCCTGGTGTGATTCATAGATTTCAGGTTTCAGATTTGCACTAACTGGTCTAGGACGACCACCAAACCTTGGATTTGGAGGGCCATACTCATCACTGAACCTTAAAGATCAAACATGTCCAGAAAATTAATGTAAGATGATGAAGCATTCAGTCACACAAAATAAAACATTTTTTAAAAAAGGTATTAGCCAGCCAGTTTCCTGGAGAGCAATTTTTACAGATTAACTCCCAGGAACATTATCACTCACATCTCCTTTGTCGTTTTCACCTCCTCTGCAGTGGCATCAGAGAAGCGACTCTTTCTTTTTCTTTTACAGTGTTCCTCGTCATCATTGGGGGCCCTTTTCAGAAAGCGCCTGAATGGCTCTGGGATGTCAGACATGGCCCTGGTAACTTCCACTGTTCTCTGGGAGGTAGGTGGTCCTGTTCTGCTTGGCCCAGGGTTGGCAACTGCCTCCTCCTGATGTGGTTCTCTCATTTCATGGCAATAATCTCTGATCACATTACACAAATGGTCACGCGACTGGTCACTCTCCATAGGTGTGGGAAAGCTACTCCTCTTGGCCTCCGGTTCACTCGAACCCTGCCTACCTGCTATATTCATACTGTCATGTATGCCTGGTTCCCTGTCCAGAGACCACCGGTTGTTATCATCTTCTGTGTACACTGGCTGCGAGGGCTGATGCTCAGCAGAACAAACTCGCCCACGCCTTTCTTCCTCAGAGAAGAACTCTTTCAGCGAACCTCTTTCTGGGTAGGGCCTTCTGTAAGAAGAAGCATCTTCTGGGTCATACTCCACATGTTGAGCCTGGACATGGGGCATCTCCACCCTTGAATCATACCTGGGAACACCACCAGGCTCAGGTACGGCTCTTCTTTGTGGATCTTCAACATATTCCCCTTCACACTCCCTACGATAATCAGCATCCATATACTCTGGTCTGTACATATCAGCTTCTCTGTAATCTGCCCTCCGCAGCCCATCTCCCATGTGGTCATGGCTGACTGTGTCCTCCTGTTGGTACATCTGTCTGACTCTGTTGACCATGTAAGGGTCTTCTGTAAGGAATGAGGGGGGGTTTGAGTAACCTTTGGGAAACCTCCCTCGGTGAGAGTACTCATCCCGATTGAGTTCTGGTAGAAGAGGTGGCACATCTCGGTGGGTCAAACTCTGTGAGATATTTCGATTCCCATTTTGCTTCTGCCGTGTGGGAACTAGAGAAGAGTAAGCATATAGTTTAAGCAAAATATAAACGATTATGGGCTCATTTGCAGTTTTTATAAATAGTCCCTTTACAGCTGCAATGGCCCTCAACCATATGCTACATCCAGTGACTCGCAAGTGTTCAATTGCTCAGATTTACAGCAGAGGTCATTTCATCATTTGTCGAGAAAAATATTACACGTAACATTGCTCGTATGAGCAGTTCTTACTACTTTTTTTTATTAATACATTTTTAATTAGATGACTGTGATTTGTCACATTAGATTCCCTGAAAAGTATGACATGCAGTATGACAACAACTCCCACACACCTTAAGTCAGACAGTTTGTGGCACTGAATGTTTTCATGTGGGGTTTGTTGAACAAATCCAGGGTAATGGTTTGTTGGGCATTAAATGGGCAGACATATTAGTAGATAATAGCTTCTTGCTGATACATTTCTATCAGTGTATACTGTATATAATTTATTTTTCACCTGTAAAATGTCCTTCTCAGTACGTACATAGTGTTAAAATATCTTGATATCATGATTAATGGCCGATATGTCATTATCAATATCAGCCTCAAAAATATAGTCTCCATCACGCTATAATTATTCAAAAACCTTGTAGCATGAATGTTGACATGTTAAGAAATATTTACAAAACTTTACCTTCCTTTAAAATGTTTCATGAAAATCTGTGCCTGACATTTCTATGTATTTATCGATGCTCTGACAAGCTGCTCTAAACACCTAACCTACTCTGCTTGAATTTTTTTCGTCAGTGTTACCAGAACAATATTGGAATTATTATATGTAACCTCTTCAGTATCTAATCCATTATCTATTACTACACTGTATTCACAGTATGAATGCACCTCTTGAGATGTTTCCTTTGCCCTCCATCCGTTTTTTCACCAGTAGCTGAAACACAAAAAACAAAAGTTTCTCTCAAAATTATTTTGTTATGAATTTAAAGGCATAGTATTTTAATAATATTCAACATGTCTGAATACTGAAATCTGTATATCCCACCAATGGAGTTCCTCGTCCATCCTGTCTCTCTATTATCTCTGCTTTGGCTCGTATTATCTTTCCTCCTTGGGTTACCATGGATTGTTTATCCCAGGTCACCAAGTCTGGCCGTTTCAATTCCTGCATAAACACAAAAGTTCTCGATTAATTTTCTCAATTATAAAGCTAAGACACTCAAAAAGTTCCATTGTAGTTTTCTGAAAATGTTCACAATGCTTTACCACATATTTCTGCCGGTGTTTACGTCCAATCAAATGACGGACCATTTCTTGTAGGTTTGCAGTGTGATGACATAGCCTGCATGTGTATCTGGGGCCTGCTTGTGGATCGTTACAAGGCACTTCGTCCAAATAGTTTAAACCTAAGAAACAGAGCAGAACATGAGTTTCACGAGTAAAAAATTAACATGGAACAAAATGAAAATTGTTCACAGGTTAACGAGTTATTCACCAATGATGGGTTCATTAAGCTTCATGTAATCCAGATATTGTACAATGTCCTCAAACACCGGTATGCTGTGTTGTCTGACAACGAGCCCTGAGAAAACACTGGTAGTTAGCAAAATAATACAACAGAGAGATAATAAAGTCTTATATGCACAGTGCAAGGTCTAGCTTGCAAAATGAATTGCCTCAATGTCCACAAACATCTCCTTGATGCCTTATAAGTGAATGATATCCCATATTCCATGCATACAACAGGTCAAGTGGTTTAAGGGAGGTAATAAGCAAGTTTTACTGTCGCTGCAACAAAAGGGTTAAATTCTCCTGTTGGTATACTGACTTCAGAAACCTGACTACTGCAAATGAGTAACCATACATGTTTGGATGCATGATCTCCAAAGTTTCACTTTTGAACACCTCAAATTCTGCTCTACTTACTTTTGCAGAAAAGTCATCCCTCCGAAACAAATGTAGGATGCAATCTTCTGTGTCCCATGATTCTTTGGTGTTGTTGTGTGAATGTCTTCAGGTCAAGACATGTTGACCGAGATGATTTTATGGTATTTATACACTTACGTTGCAAAAAAAGTACTGCCCGGTGAGGCCTTTGATCCTGTGACGTCCATGTTATGACAAAACCAGCTAAATGCCACTTACATCACCAACAACAGAGGAAAAATGATTTTTCCAACTATCCAAAACAAAATAGTCACACAAAGTTTACGTTCACTTCAAGAGTGCGCATGCCAAAGCCCTTTGCTCAGTTCAACGGAAACACACTTTTGGTATTTGAGCCAACGCCACATTCTTCAACAGGTAAAACTGGAACACACTTGTCCAGGCTGCACATTAGCAACAACAGGCATTGTCTGAAAACATTTTTGTGGTTTTATTGTTTCTTTTATACATGAAAGGAACATGTTTTTCTATTCAGTTTTGAACCCACATACAAACAGGAAGTTGGATCAAACAATCAGGATGTTCGATGTGCAGGGTTGCACAACACGTTGTTGACACTTAGTTTGCGCATCGGCTTCTCTGCGAACCTCTGCAACCCACGGGTGTCCATAACGCCCTTCTCTGCGTTGAACCGCAGAGATGTTGGTGAGTGGCAGTGCACTCTTTGATGTTCCAGCAGCAGAATGATATCCAGCTGCCAAAATTGGCTACATTATGATTTGGGACAGCCATGCAGGCATGGGTGGGCCTGTTCCGCCTGATTTTGTTCAAGTGTTGTCTATTAGAATAATAGGTGAATGAGTTACATTTCTGAATAAAATAAAGTGTTCACTCAAAGGACACCAGCAATGGGTACACTCTCAGTGAGCGTGCAACAACAAGTCTTAAGTCAAACTCACAGAAGATGATTGTCTGCGACAAAGGTAGCTGACTTGTGTAAATACTGTCCACAATCTCTCCTTGTACAGATGGCGAAGAGGCCGCACCACTAAGAAAATTAGGAGCATTCTCAAAGCCAGCGACGTTATAGAAGCCCAGTGCCATCAGTCCCATTTTGTCCTAGAAGCACTTTCTCCAGGCATGACTCAGCTACCGAACGCAATCATCTCACCGCTCCCAAGATAAGGTGCACTGTGGAAAGATTGTCCTCCACCATTAACAAGATAAAAACACAACAGGCCATTCATGTAACATTGACATTTGAACTGACAATCAGCTCTGGTTGAGCTGCACTGGAGCTAGCTTTGGCTAGTTTCAGGACCCACAATGATGGACAAGTTCTGAACTTAGAGTATTACGAAACCTGCATTAGTCTGGCAATCAGACATGCTGGATTTATACATCTGTTGAGCCATTTTGGCTACAGGGGACACTATTATCAGCAAACTAACTGTGCTGATAGGTCCAACATACGTCACATGGCATGTATGTAGACAACCAAGCATTACACTTGTGTGACTGCTGGATGTCTCATTCCAAAATGATTGCCATTTATCTGCTGCTAAAGCAGCCTCCACTCCTCTGGAAAGGCTCTCCAGAAGATGTTGGTACCTGGCTACAACCACAAGAACATTAGTTGCAGCATGAAGATCAAGATCAGAGTGTCAAGTCTTCATATCTGACTATAAAATGCTCGCAAACATTTTCAATACAGTGCGATACAGTCCCAACGATGATATGACCTTTGATTTTTTCTTTTGTTCAAAGCCATTCTCAGAGGGTCACAACCACTGATGGATCTTAACTAGTCCATTAAAAGCAGGCAGCAGATTACAGAGTGACCTCTGTTAACTTTGTGTGTGTGGACTGAATTAACTGCCAGAATAGACAGCAAATACAGTCATGGCCAGAACAGAACAAAACGACAAGGCTGAAGATGAAGTCTACTTACCCGCAGCAACTAAGACATCCTCTTTCTGCCAGGAACGAAAGGAGAGCAATAAAAATTAAGTCAATCAGTGCTGGATAAACAGGGCACTAGCTAGACTTCAGTCACGTCACCGCTGCTACAAACAGAGAAAGGGTTATATCATGGAAATATATTTTTTAACACATAATGGTTAACCAAAACTACAGCTCACTTGAGGTGCAGTAAAGATACATATCCTCACCATAGTTTCACAGCAAGTAGGTAACATAGTAAAGGAAAAAGAAAAAGAGTGTGTACTCCTGGATGTCAGTTTCTTTCAAATGTTATTTTAAAACATACATATATTAAGCCTCCTTCCTTGGAGAAGTTTATAATAACTGCTGAAAACCAAATCTAATGGATATTTGTATGCAGACACAGACCAATGTTCAAGCAACTTTTGCTTGTGCACATTACTACTGTGATTGTGTATGAGGCAGTTAGCTTTGCCAAAACATGGCTGACCATACAGCAGTACTGTGACTGAAAGCTTCTAGTATAGACAAGTTGCTGTCGCTACACAGCGCGGACAAGGTGTTAGCATCTGTAATGGTCCATTTTCAAGGATGTGTCCATGTTTATTATTCGTTTTCCAGGCTTGACTTTCCAGCAGTGTGAAATAAAGTCTGTTGTTGATCCTTGAATCTTCAGAGCCTCTTGTGATTGGGCTCCCTCCAAAAACATAAAGCCATCATATATGCAAGAACATTAAGAGATTTACATGCACTTCACCAGAGGGCTGCAGCTTTTGTTTTTTTTCCAGATGGAGCTGGTACATATTTTTCTGTACAAAGCAGACACAGAAAATTGTCATGGTTACATTAAAGTGCATGTGATACAATGGCTCAAGGGCATCCTCCATATGACACAAACCACTGAAAAGCACCTGCAAAAAAAAGAATAAGAGGGTCTCTCACAAGACCTGACTCCAATGGAGACTGTTATCAAGCTTAACTAAAATCATTTATCAGTATACGGGATTTCAGGTTGCCATGTACTAAATCATCAACAAAACTTCCAGTGATGTGGTGCGAGGAAGAACAGCGCCTATAACCTGTGTTGTTGTAGCCTTGAGTCTCAATACTTGATTGATGTAGACCAAGAAAAAAGCAAGTTCAGCTATAGGTGATGACCTCCACAAAACAAATGGCTGCTTCAGAATTGAAAGGAGATATTTTTTATGCAGAGCAGTTGCGCAACATGTTTTTAAAAATCACGTCACCTGCTGTTATTGCAAATGGGTTTCAAACATCCACACAGAGACAACATGCGGTAAAGTCATATAGGCCTGTTCGACCTAAATGTGTTTACATGTTGCCTTCTTCTGCGCCATAAACGTACTGCAAGGGGTGTTCTTTAAAGACACAGTGCTCCTCCAAAAAGTCTTCCGCCAAAGTCTTCACAATGGTCAAAGACAAATGTTGGTAAGCATTCACCAGCTTATTTAACTTGGGTATACCAAGATGCATGGTCCTTGGCTTGCAGGACAGAAGGAAGTATGGTCACAGGATATCCAAGAAGGCAATACATCAGAAATAAAGTACTGGAGAGGTTGTTTGTTTTCTTTTAAGTCCCCTGATGTTGCTAACAGCTTGGAAAGATAGTGAAATATCACTTTTGGATGATGTTCCTTGTTTCCTGCTATGTGACTTATCTTGAATCTGTCAAAGACCTGTGACTGAATTAAAAGAAAAATAAGCAGGTCATGGAAAAAACATTAGTCACAGTAAAGTCCTCACTAACAGTAACATCTATAATATATGTCTATCACTGGGTGTTTTAGCCACGTTAGTATTAAACACAGCTTCCTGTACCAGTAAACGGTGCTGTGTACCTTTATATGTCCTGGTGTAGTCAGGTGTATCTTGAACAAAGTATCACCTCTTATGGATTTATCACAGACCTGGATTAAAAGAGAAAACATAAATGAATCAGCATCACAGCTACATGAGATGGTGTGATACACAGTCAGCTGCCAAGTTATTACACACTGCTAAACTATTAAATCAGTGTGGATGGATAAACTATTAGCAACATTTGTTATAGTATATATATATATATATATATATATGTGTGTGTGTGTGTGTGTGTGTGTGTGTGTAACAGTGGCAGCAAAAACTGATTATAACATTAACTGTTAACGTTACACTGAAGCTAACGTTAGCAGTCGTAGACCTCATTAAGTGGTAAGTGTAAGCTAACATTAGACAGTTTACCTTGCATTCAATAAATTCGGCATCATCATCATATGGTGTTTCGATGTTGTCCATTATGGATGTTTTGCGACTTGTGTTAACGTTACCTTCTCAAGAAACCTTTAGTAATGTTAGCTTAACGTTAGGTTAGCAAACGTTTAACTAGCTAGCGAACGCAACCATGCTAGTTCCTACAACGGCAGAGTCGTGTAGCTTTAGCTGTTAGCTATCAGTGTGCGTAGTGTTATTTTGCTAACTATAACGTTAACGAATTCGTATTCGCTTATGTGTGGTTTATATTGTATGGCCTTCCATTACTTTTGTTTACACCGTCGACAAAACTGAATAAGATAATGATTACTTCCTGTGTGTTTGTTCAGTTTAGACTAAGACTTTCTCATGAGCGGGGTCGTCTTCGCACCGAGCCATCTCCGTTAAAAAAAAAGAAAAAACTACGACGGTATTCAAAACGAGCGCACCCCACAGGCAAGTACACATATTGATGGCAGTTACTTTACGCCCCCTGTTGGCCTGGACCTAAATTGCAATCAAAGTCAATGCCATATAGTGCAGACAGGACTGTTGAACATTTTCTGTTTATTTGGCTCTAAGAACTTGCTTCATATGTACAAAGTCTGGCTTTGGAAACTGGTGCACATGTCAAGCGGTGTGGGGCATCTGCACAGCATTCGGTAGACTTAAGGACAGATCTATGAAGCAGTATGATACAGTAAGACAAGGGACTCCTTGACTCATTATTTCAGTACAGTGGAGGTCTGAGCAACTATGAAGATATCAATATACAAAACTCAGCAACTTGTCTGAATGATAATTTTGCAAGCCATGTTGACATGGATACAAATCATAAGCACTTACAGGTACAGCTCCCATCGTATGTACATGCACATTTGAATATGTACAATGACCAATGATTTATATACCCCTCACACATACATATTTTGATTTGCTTACTGGCTTACCAATCAGTTTCAGAATACGGTTTCCTAATAATGTCACAAGTATACCGTTCTCTTCAGAAGCCATTATCACACTGCATTAAAAAAAAATTCAAGCTTGAACCACTGCTGCAATGATGTTTAACCAAGAGTTACACAGATGCATTCACAGAAATCGTAAAAGAAAGTTATGACAGCAATCCAAAATACTGAACATTATAAACGATCATACTAAGGGGATATACTCTGGTGCATTATCTTAAGTCACTCTAAATACAAAAATATCACACCAGCATCACCCATACCACTTTCAAGCAGTACACGTTAGATAGTCAAGGGCCAAAGCGTGAGAGAGGCCTGTGTCTGATGATTATAAATCTTAATTTACAATGTACCGATAACATACAGCACAAAGATGACTTCACAGGCAGAAAAAAATGACATTTCTGTTAATAAAAGCCATAAATAACCCATTGAGGACAGAATGAGAACCGCAGGTCACCACACAAAGGGACACAGACAAAATGTTGAGATGTTTCAGTAGCAGGAGGGTCAGGCATCTGATTAGATGAAACTAATCAGTTTGAGGTGTTGTAGAGTCCTCCTGGAAGATTGTTCAGTCGGGAGCGCAGCTCCTTCCGGACCTGGGTCACCCTCGCCAGTTTGCGTTTGTACTCCTGAAAAAGTCCACAGCAGAAAAAGGTCCATCAGAACTCAAGGATCTTAGATTCTGAAAGAGTGGAATTGTGATTTCTGAATTTGTCTCAACAACAATTTTGGAAATACAATTTGTGGCAAGTAGATATTATGTTATTAGGAAATCTGAATTAAGGATATGAAGACAGTATAAAAATGGAAACGAGGTTACATCACTAATATAACGTTGTATTGTACATATATACACAATGTGGTGTTAGTTAAAGCACTAACTGAAGTTAATTAACAAAAGTTGGGATTTTTGGCCAAATATTTCCATCAAATATGTTGTACTTTACAATAAGTCCCATTTGAAAGCACCACCACATTTATGAAAAAGGTTGTGCGAGCACATTAAATACATATTTATTGGCTGTTAAGCTTGCAGCCCATTTAACCATATCCTCTTTCAAACCTATCAATGTATGATGTGATTTGAAAAATAAATAAATAAATGTATCACTACTTTTAGCTCAGGTTGATGACTAACTTGCCACAATGTTTACTTTCTATGAAACACACACACCACAAACTTTCTCCTCCAATCAGTTTTGAGGATATTAAAAAGGTATTAAGGTTTATTTTACTTTTTGCTGTAAAGACGGCCAACAAAAATGCAGGGAAGTGGTTATATTTTATCCTAGTAGCCTTTTAGAGTAAATGAAGTGTTTACAGAAATATAGGCTAAAGGCCAGTCATCAAAGACACAACTCATACCAACAAAAAGTTTCACTTAATTCATGTGTATTATCCCATTTTTACTTGTTAAAAGATTCAGGAACAGGAAGTGTCACTCAGATGTTTCAGCTTCAGCTTTGCTGCACACATGTGCTTATTTTATCTTTGCCAAACAGCTGATAAATGTAGGTGTGTTGTGCAAAAAGAAAACATTTCCTCAGGCCACAGGAGGCTTCAAAAGTTCAGTATTAATCACAAACTTCCAATTATATCTCATCATGTCATCAATACTGATGTAAATCTCATCAATGACTGTTAAGACTACAAAAACCTGTTGTGTTTTTGTAGTTTTGGTGCACATCTACAACTTTGATTGGATTGAGCTCAATTTAATCTTGAGTGTGTAACATTTACTGTCTCTAAACAAAATACAAAATCTGTCATAGACCATGTTTGAAATTGAACATTTGTACAATCCATGTACCACCAGGTGCTGCAAATGTTGCAGCAAAATAAAAGCACTCACAAAATCAGTTTTATTTTTTATTTTCAGTTTTTTTTATTACAAAAAGATTTGACTGAGTGAAGATACAAGTAGGAAATTCTTTGTCCTCCTGGTACCCTGTGGATAAAGGCTGGACAGTTATTGTCACCACAAAATAGGACGGCTATGAGTAAACAAGAAAATCTGAAGTGAAGTTTTTCAAGATCAAGTACGTTGGTTGATACTTACCTTGTGGGAAAGTACACATTGATTTTAGACTGAACTGATTTAAATGACAAATGCTGAAAGAACAAGCATTTCCTAGTGACCAGGTAAAATAGTACTTAGATTTAGAGTGTGTATCTAATCAGTAATCTTTCTACTGTAATCTACAGTCTGATTCAGCAACAAAAAAGGCACTGCAGAAGTATGCATCATGCTGAAATACATGAAAAGAAATTTTACTTCAAAAGGTTGAAAGACGAGAAGTGTAAGCACACAGCTACACAGACAGATGAACACCAAATATCATGACGACAACTGTGAGGTAGACAAAGCATACACAGATAACAGTGATTGAAAGGAAAAAGATTTACGCACTTCTAGTTTCTGCTCGTTCTGGGCCAGGCCATCCTTCTGGCTTTGCAGGAAGACTGTTAGTGTGCGCGTGAGCTGCCTCCTATCGTCAATCTCTGCCGCCAAGCGGCCACTGTAGTCTGCTAGCAACATACACGCCTCCTCCACCAGCCTGGAAAGCCGCTCCCCTGATTCCTTATCTAAAGCACACAAAGCATACAGGGCACAATGCTTAAACATAATCAGCCTAGAGGGTTCAACCTGGAGATCATTCAGTTGTCCATCAATACTGGTACAATGCAGATAACTGCTGTAAACTCAGTGGCTAACATTGTTTCCTATTCAAGATGGAGGCATTTTAGCCCGTTTGGTCTTTGTCAGTGTCCTGCTCAAGGGCACTTTAGCTTGCTTGTAGTGATTGTTTTTTGAAATGAAAGGCATGAGTACTAAGTAAACGTGTTGTCAGTCTTGAGAACATACGCTATTCCATACAAAGACCAAAAAAACTTTTTTAAAGATGTTTTATCTGGAAGTGAACCAACTTTGAATACCAAGGGGAAAAAAACCTGTCCACTGCAGATGACTCCGTAGTCAACTCATGGTCGCTAACCCTATTGTTATCAAATAATATATACACGTTTTAAGGTTTAGGTTTGCATTTGTTTTGTATATTCGTAAGGTAAAGTTGAGCAGTAGATGGGGTCATGTGCAAAAGGGGGAGTAAATGTCCAATAAGGACAAGGGCACATAGGCAGGGCAGGTATTTGTTGTCACACAGATATAAACCCCTGGTCTACAGTTTTCCTGCTCAGTACCCCAAAATGCTACCCATAAAGAGAATTACTTTATTAACTAGAAAGTAAATGTCTTGCCTCCTACCTGTGATCCGGTGAAGCAGTGACGTGTCTTGTACCTCAGCAGGAAGGGAGGAGATGCGCTGACGTAGCACTGAGTCGCCAGAGGCTGCATTTTCCAGTTCCTGCAGAGCTCGGATTAACTCTGTTGTCTGAGGGACAGAGAGGACAATAAGCAGGGGTGGGGGGTGAGAGGAGCAAAGGGAGGAGAGAAGTAAAGGAAGAAGGTATGGTAAATGAGCGGTTAACACATGTCAAATGTGAACAATATTGGAGAGGCAGCTGAGAAAGGAAGTGTTACGATACAAATCCAGCCACAGGCAGTTGTATCAACTGTAAAATGTCATTTCATTAACACCCTGTATTGGCTGTACTGTTTGTCTAGGCCAGCACCTGTGGGGGCTCGGCTGGGGAGCTCTGGGAAGCAAAGTCCTCATCATCTGGTTGAATCTCTTCATATGACC